TCCACTCCATAAGCTTGTTAACATTTGTGGGAAAATATTTGACCCAAATACTCTTTGCTCCTCGGTGACATGGATCATAATTCTATCACAGCAAGCTGTTCCCTTTCTCAACCACAGAGATATAAAATCCAGTCATTTCAAATACATATAAACTCTGTTATTTCTTTTATGGACTCCAACTTTGAGTTGGAATCTCTTGTTTCTTTTGCCTCTTTTTTTATTTTCCTCCTTTTTGATTTTCTCCATATTGAACAGAGTATCTGTTCTAAAGTTTATTAGCTAGAAAAATTCAGAACGGTTATAATTATCAGACAAAACTTCTCTAATTCTCTCTGGATATGTTTTGGGCACCATTTAAGAAGCCACATGGATGACTTGAATGGATGGACTCATTTCTAAATTCTTTTGAGATGGATGGTTCAAATGAAGACTTGATATCCTCTTTCCTTGATATCCTTTTTTAAGGTTGACATAAAAAGAACATGATGACTTTTACCTTCTATTATCCATCTATTTTTACACCATTCAAACTAACTATATATTTAGATATCATTTCAGTAAATGCTGAGAGTTGCAAGGCCAAATATATTCTGGTGATGTATTTTCCCGTCTTCATAGATCTCCTTTACCTCTCCCTGAAAAGAGAAACTTGAAGTTCCCATACATTTTTTAATGGTGATCCCATCTCAGTCAGTCCTGCAATGTTTCTGGTAGGATAATGAAGATCTAAAGATTTAATGATTCTAGATGAAGAGGTTTAGGATAAAGGTAATACCTAACAACTGAAATTTCTAATGGTATTCTGTCTCTTTTATTGAAGAAACACTATTCCTAAGACATAAAGTTTATGTTTTGAGTCCCCAAAAGAATATCATTAGTTTTCAAAAAAATGTGGTTAAAAAAGTGAACTAGAAATATTTAATGAGGGTATTCTTCCAAATATTCTGTGAGAAATATGTCTAGACATTAAAATAATTCAGCATCCAAGATTAATTCTGGAAAGTAACTGATACTAATAGTGTGGATTAAAGTTTCATGAAGATGTGTGTCATAGACATAAATTTTGCTTTAGATAAAATAGATAAGGGTTTAAAGTCACCAAGAGTTTTAGCAATTCCTTGCATATAGAAATAAGAAATTAGCAAAAGACTATCTGCATTCAAGCAAAAAAAAAATCCAATTAAAATGGGATCTTTTTCATAAAATATTTTCAGAATCACAGAAATAATAGGAAGTATTTTTTTTTTTAGTTTAGAATATTTCAACATTTTATTACTGTAAGAGGAACATAGCCATGGATCTCCTAGTTAACAAAAGACAGATTCTGTTTGGGTAAGACAATTCTGTTTTTTTCCTATTAATGCCCTGAAATGATATTTGAATATAGAGTTAAGTTTAATGTTGTAAAAATAGATGGGTAATGGAAAGTAAAAGTTATCATGTTTCCTTATGTAATAGAAGTAGAAACACAACAGAAATTATTCCACACCTATTCTGTTTACTACACAGTTAATGTAGAAAATGAATCTTTAAAAATAATATGAGTAATGTAGATCATGTAAATGCAAATTTATTCAGTATGAGACTTCTAAAAACCAATTTATAAAATAAGCAAAAACAGTATCATTATCCTTATAAACACCTACAGATACCTTACAGACTATGTGCTCAATTAAATATATAAAAAACATACTGTAACAACCATAAAAAATGAACTATTAAAGATGCCAAGTATATTAAAAATTATTATTTTTTAATTCAAAATGATATTACTAACATCAAATGTGTTTTTGGATTGACTTTTCATTTGTGATATTAAATTTTACAGTGTTTTTTTAAACCATTTGTGATTCGTATTATGCATTTTTCATAATGGTAGGCCAATTTTAACTCCATTGAATAATCTAATGTTCCTTTTTAAAAGTTGTAGCAACAATGTAAGCTTTGAATCCCGGATTGTAAGCTTTGAATCCTGGATTGTAACATAACCACATTTTACTTAACCAATAGAGCTAGTTTGTCCCAATTTCACGCCTTTTTTAATGTTGTTAAGTTAAAATGGAACACTTGAGCATCTTAATCATTATTATTGAAGCAGAAATACATTTTTGCCTTTTTTTTTGTCATCCTTAATCCCCGACATAACAAAATAAAATATTTTGACTTGTTGACTTGCATACTCATCTTTGTCAACAAATATAACTCTTGGCCTTCAATGCCTTTTTCCTCTTTCTTTTCACTTTTGTAGCCACTAGCTAAACTTATTACTGCAGGAAGAAACTTAATCCTTAGAGTCTTGATTTCTTTGGTTCTATTCCACAAAGAATCAATAGCATAATTTTCCTCAAACACTGCAATAATTATTTTTTTCTTCTACTTAAGAACAGTTGGTAACTTTCTATGGCCTGTTACATACACTTTTAATCCTGAGAGGTTAATATTCTCCCTTCCTCTGACTCTTTCTCTTTTAGCAATCTTATTTCCTCTTGCTCTTCAGCACAGTCTCTGCTACTTCCAAGCCATCTGGTTGTTATCGGCAGGAACTACTTTCCTGCCTATGCAGATGTCACCTTTGAATTACTGGGAGCCTACTGTTTCCTGAGGCAGTCCATTTTATCTTCAGATAAGTCCCTAAGAGAGTTTTTCTCTTTGTTACATGAATCATATAAATCAACTATATAATTTTTACATTTATCTTTGTGTGTGTGTTACACCAAGACCTAATGAGGTCTACTTCCTTAGTCGTTTTGCATATGTGTGCTATGTCTACGGTGGTGCTTTGTTTAACCTGTAAGCAAGGATCTCTGCATCAGGCACTTCCACATTTCCATACCCTGATCCATCTTCCTACCACTCCAGAACCACAAGAGTATACGCTCTAACTTTGGGCATAGTACGTGTTTAATATGTGTTTGATGTGTAGAATACCTTCTAAATGTAGAGCTATTTACATGTAAAAGTATATATATTTATGCTTATGAAAGGGTAATAAAATTTTTATCAAGGAAATGATTCTGTGACTTTTAATTGGAAACCTAGAATACAAGTCTGATCATGTGCATACTCACCCCCACACCCAATAAAATGCCTAAACATTTCCAATTGTTTAACAAAGCATTACATGTTATATATTTATCTACAGCTGGTTAACAGAGAAGGTGTTACATGTTATATATCTATCTAGACTTAAGTGGTTTGGTTTTCTCTACGTGCAATATACTATTTTCTATATTGTAGCTTTAGTTCTACCTGTGAAATTTCATATAATGCAGAAAAAATATTGATTGTGTTCCCTGTATTTTACAATGTGAATATGAAAAAATACCTTGGCATTGTTAATCTAAAAATATATTCATAGTTTTCAAATAGTCTACCTAGCAGAACATTTATTAGTATCTCTAAATTGTCAACATCCCTGAATGTTCCTGCATTTTAAACTATTTCAAAAATTGTTTCCATAACAATTTTAATTGACTCTCCTATGATGCTATTTTAGTAATTGTAATCAGCAGTATCTTATAATGAGATTTCAATCAAAGCCTTTAATGCTATGCAGTAATCTGAGTGAACACACTTACATATCTATGTAGGCTTCTTCTCCTGACCTCCTTCCACTCCACACAAGAGATGCTATAACCAAGTTTGATCACTGACCATGGAGAGCAGAGGTTGCTTTCCATTTGTCACAAGTAATGTGGAAAATATCTGGGGGCAGCAAGGTATGGTCACGATCAGTTAAAGTCTGGTATAAAGATAAACATTGTGATGGACTTCTCACTAAGGCTGTTTGCTTTCTGTGTGATCAATAAACACTGACTGACTTGTAGGATGGCTGTTTAGGGTTAGGAGTGCACCTACTAGTTATGAAGCAGATTGCAGCTAGGGGCACGATTGGCTTGGGGTAAGGTGGGTAGCATAGGTGTGGGGGAAGAGTAGGGAGGGCTCCCCTGCAGCCCACATTACTCTGTTGTGCTGCTTTGCAGGTTCTGAATTAACAGCAGTGAATTATTCTTTTTCAGTTTTTATTATTGCTAGATTTCTTTAAAGCCCACTTTTATGTCTGCCCATTAATCATCTATGTAATTTTAGAAGGCAAAATGCATGAGGCACAGAGCTAATTATGCATTCTATTATGCCTCTAGATATCTGGATGAAAGTCATGTTCCAACACTCAATCCCTTCCCTAAAACTCATTTCCACAAATGATGATTTAATGATCTATTTATTTTAAAGGTTTGCCTTTGGGGACAAAGATTATCCTGGTTAGCTCCACTTGAAAGAATAAACTTTTATTTCATGGAATCTGTAAGCGTTTAGAAAAATCATTGTGGACTTTGAAAATGCATTTAATACAAAATGTGTTGAAACCCAAGCTTTGGCCATCCCTAGGTAGAAATGGTCCCCTTTATACCTATGCAGAGTAAGAGAGCCATAATGTCCTCAGGTCTCATACTGCACTGACATGGAACTAGCAAGCTGTGGAAGCAGAGTGTATGAGGGTAAATTGTAACTTTGTTTTTTAATTCTAAAGTCAGTATGTGTGAACAATAAAAGAATGATTTTTAAATAATAATTCTTAAATGTGATAATTGCTAATCCATTTACTCTGATCAATTTTCTTGACCATTCATAGCTAATTTATCACATTACATATAACTGGGAATGCAAACACTAGTCTCACATATACCTCTCACTTTGATCTCTTAGTTTTTCTTTTACTCTTCAGGTATGAAAAACCTCATTCTTCAGTAATTATATCCACAGCTCCTAGGTAGAGGTTGTATGTTTGATTATAAAGAGATATTTTCCTATATTTCTAACAGCAGAGTGCAGTATTTTGCAAGGAGAGGTGTCTTCGTGATTTAGCATATATTCATTTCCATTCTACTGTGTTTTTTTGTGCCTTTAGAATGTAGTTCGATTAAAATGTGTGCAAAAACTCTTCCACTCTAAAGTACATTAATATTTTCTAAAACTTAAGTCAAAAATAAGACTGCAACTGAATTCTGGCTTTAGTGACAACAAAGAGTGGATTTTTGGTGGGAAAGGACTGTCTCCTAGATGTCAGTGTCCATCCCGGAGCCACATTTTGGGCAGAAGATTTCCTTGTTCTGGGTCAGGAAGCCTTTACCCACCAAAGAGACAGAGCACTTCCCACAGTTAAAACATTCACTATGCCACTGGCTGTCTTGAAAGCAGATAAACTTGGCACCTGTGAGACCTGTAAAAAAAAAATTGGAGAAAAAGATTAATTTATCTTTTCAAGGAATAGATTGAGTATTTTATCAGGTACTCCTCTAGGAACTGGAGGTACAGCCTTGAGCCAGACAAGTAACCCAAAAATGAATGCTGCTTCTTGGCTCTGTGTCCATCTGGAACTAACAGCTATAGGAAAGTTTTACCTATGCCACCCAACCAAATTCGCAGCCAAATTCTGCCATAATCTATAGAAATAGGCAGCATGTTGATATGCAAGTCACATAGATAAGGATTGTCTAGGCCAGGTAAGAAAATACAGAATAGCGTAGTGGGAAGAGGGTATACATTGTGGAGTCAGAGATATCTGAGTATGACTACATTTCTTCTTTTTCTCTAAGTGACTTTAAGTTTTCTTAGCTGCCAAAGGAAGATAAAATAAAATCAATATACACTTCCTAGCTTGATGTCTGATGTCGTAATGAGTTTTAGTTTTCATCTCTTCCCTCATTTTTTTGTGCTTAGTTTTACTTAGAATATGTCTGGGGGTCATATGGGTTGGGACACTATTTCTAGAAAGCCCAAATAGAGGATTTTATCTAATCATTCAGACATCCTAATGTGATGGCCTTATTACCTTTCTCAGAGACAGCTGCAGCTTATGTTGAATCTGGCCACTGAGTCCACATGGATAACCACATGATTGGTTTCTAAGGGCTTTGTCAGCCTCCTCCGTTTTAACTTGGACCTCACTTGAACCATACTGTTTGTTTAAAAAGTAGTAGAATTTGAATCTTTATTGAAGGTCTGATCTCTGCCTCCCTAATGTGATTGCAGGGTATAGTTCAAGAAATTGATCTTGAGAAGTTATATAAAAGAAGAAAATGTTTAGGGTTTGGGAAGAGGTTGAGATGTCCTACGCTTGAGTCTTTATTTATTTCATGTTTTCTTTCAGTAATCCTAGTGGTATTATTTGCTTATCATCCATAGCGTGAGGCTAAAAGAGATATAATTCACATGTAATTTCAAAATACTCCATTTGAAATGGTGAAGTGAAAGGGTGAATAGCATTCTATTTCAGACACACTGTTCTTAAATATGATAATTAACTTTTGTTTCTAACGTAACAAACTTGTTTGATGTCTTCCTGTATAATTTAGTAGTTCATAGTCAAATTTGCATCAAATTCCTCTACTTTGCTTGATTAAATTTATAGCTTGCTTATCTATAATGCTATCAACATTATTTTCTAATAAATGTAAATTAATTATGTACTACTTAATTCCCTCAGTGTTATTCAAAACATTAATGAGCTGACTGCAAGAGTAATGCTCTGTATATACATAAATTATGCCTGTTCATAAAACTAATTATTACATGTCTAGCATTTTGATGCTCATGAGTTTCTCTTAATTTTATTAGCCTTGTACAAGTGGCAAATATAAAAGCATTTCTTCCAGATTTTTACAAAGAAGAAAAAGTAGAAGCAACTGGCAACAGGTCTTTAAGAAAGGGCTGAAGGAACATGTGAGATGATTGTTAATTGTTTCAAAAAGGATATGTTTACTCCCTTAGGTCATGAGGTTATTTGCAGTAAGAAAGCCATCCACAAAGCAGGTCTCTGGCACCTGTTTCATCTGGTTTCATAGGTTTCTGACAAGTCAGTAGAATAAGAGCTGGCATTTGTTGAGTTCTTGAATATGTGCCAATCACTATTCTAAGTCTTTCATATGTGTTACCATATATAGCCCTCATCTTACCTTCATGGGGTAGATATTAGCATCAGCCCCACTTTGCAGACAAAAACTGAGAAATGATAAGTTTAACCACTTGCCCCAGGTCACCCAGCTAGTAAGCATATCTGAGATTTAAGCACAGGCCATCTGGCTTTAGAGCCTCTGCTTTTAACCTCATGAAACTGAGTTTGAGTTTATCTTTGGTAAAGAACATGATTGGGAACATCAGCATTACTCTCTGAAGAAACCACAACATTTGTAATTCCTTTTCCTTGAAATAAACAGAGATAGAAGAAAGCCAACTGGCTTAACCATTTGTTTTATAAATACGGCAAATGAAGTTCCCCACCCCCAGAGGTGAGTTAGTCACCCACGGTGACACAGCAGTTGGGGGCAGGGAGGATCAAGTCTTTTGCTCCTCGGTCCAGAGCACTTTTCATTGCATTAGGCTGCTTCATTTATCCCTGATAGTTTAAGAGGTTAATCCCATCTTAAAGGAGGAAAAAATATGGTTATACCTGGAGTTTGTTTAAATGAAGCAAGTTCATTGTGATGGGTTTTAAAAATTACACTTGGTGATTTACAAATAGATTTTTCAGAGCTTTAAAGAATTGTTTAATCTTAATTGACAAATAAAAGTATATACCATGTTAGTTTTGTATATGTATACATTGTGGAATGGCTAAATCAAGGTAATTACCATGTCTGTTACCTTATCATATACTTTTCTTTGTATGTGGTGAGAACATTTAAAATCTATTAGCCATTTTCAAGTATATAATGCATTGTTATTAACTATGTAGTCACTATGTTGGACAGTAGGTCTCTTGAAATTATTTAACCTGTTTAGCTGAAATTTTGTATCCTTTGATCAAGAATACCTAGCTTCTTAAAGTGACATAATAATCAGATGAATGCCAATTTTCTGAAGATATGCGACAATATCAGAATTCCCAATGATATATCAGTTCAACTAGCTCAATTTTAAAGAAGCTGTACTGCAGTGCCTATAGATGTTTAACAATTAGACTAAGAAATATTAAATTGAGTTGTAAGTTTTTGTAGGCATTTCAGTTTCTGGTGTCTCAGTCAAAAAGCGAAAAAAAAAAAAGATTATAATAGTTATTAGACATTTCCTGTGGACTGATGAGTCTAAATTAAATATATAACATTGCATTTGGATTAATTTTGGGTCAGATCACTTTCTCTTGATCATCCTCATATTTTTGTGCAGAACAGCATTGTTTTTCCATCTGAACTTTAAAAAGCTGGGCTCAGTGATTGATCTGGAACAATCTATGAGAAAAATCACTTAGACCTATGGATCTGTGATATATCAGAATTGAAACTCAAATTCAGGGTTTGTGTAGGCTTTTTGCAGATCAGTATTAGCTATCTGGATCTCCAGAGAATTTTGAAATCTATTTTGAGTTGTTAATTTCCTCATTTTCTCATTGACATACCCCTTTTTTTTTGCTGTCCCAGTTCAAGAAAAGGATTGTTGTCAAATAAATGGTCTGCGATTGCAGATTTTACTAGGGAGATTCTGGAGCTCCAGGTACTGTTGGATATCTGAATGTCCCATTTTCTAACTAAAATCAGTGGATATAGTAGCTTATTCTCTTGGCTATAGGCATTGCTAAATGTGTAGAAGGCAGGAGAGCAGCGTAGTTAAAAGCTAAATAGTATGTAGTTACCTTCATAATACGTGGACCCTGGATCCCAATGGTGTGGGATTGCTACAGCAAGTCCTTGCAAGGGCCAGAGAAGTAACCTAGCTGAGAGAAGCAGACAGGGTGCGAGGAACAGAGAGGACATGCCCCATGCAATGGGACAGCCACTAGCTTCGTATGATGGTGACCCTGCTGGGGAATGTAGAGACAGTCTGCTCACCCAATGTCAGGCTCTTCCTCTACTTTTAGCTGCAGAGATGGATTTGCATTAGTTATTTCCAAACATGTTCAGGCCAAACATCACCTGTCGGCTGGCCAGATATAGCCCGTGGGCCAGTGTGATCCTGATGCACACAGTGCTCCATATAGACAAATAAGACCATGCTGTTTGTTCTGGTGATATCCTCTCTCCCCTTGCAAGTCAGTGAAAACCTGCCAAGGTGGGGTTTGCTGTCAAACTCTTAACTGGAAAATGTATGAAGATTCATCTTTTATTTTGTTACACATATGAAGATGATGGAGGAAAGGGATAAAATAATCTTTAATTCTGTGGTATATAAACTGAACTAAAAATTGAAATATGATCTAAGAATACTAGGGATAGAAAGTAGATATACAGTTCTGACATATTATTAAGTGACTATAAATTGCCAGAAAGAATAGCTGCTGGGCCTCACAAGTGTCATGCTAATTTCAGTTCCTTTATTATAGGATTAGCATTTTAAAGGTGTCTCTGAGGAAAAGATGTATTTTTTTTTTTACCTTGAAAACCTCTTTAACATGGATCGATTTATCATTACGTTATTTTCAAATCATGTCACATTTTTTTCTTTAGTAAAATGCCATCTTGTTTTCTTTCATCTACTCATTAATGCATTTCATAATTGCAAGTGAATATAGAGAAAAGAGAGTAATACGTTTGTTAGAAGCATCTTCAAATAAAGTTTAATTAATTACTGATCTATACTGCTTTAATTATTACAGCTTCAGATGTTCTAGACAATGGTGGAATTTAATTAAAACCTTCCTAACTAAAAGACGCTTGGCCCTATTTTGAAATTAAGCAGGATTCTGATTTATTAGTACTCTTTCCTCCCACTCAAATCTTAATGAGGCTTCAAGCAAGCCTCCTTGTGAAGGTCTGCGCTGACCTCCCATCTCCTGCTTCTTTAAACTGTTATTTTACTTAGAGTCAGTACCATTAGGTTTAGTATATAGTTACCTTCACAGAGTGCGGGCTCCCAAAGTATACTCTTGTACTTTCCTTGAGGAATCCATGTAATATTTGTACTCATATATAGGCACCCACTTGTGTTTATCTCAAAAGGAAACATAGATGAAAGCTTCCCATCTTTTACTTGCATTTCCTAAATTAACTAGGTAGCATTTTCTATAGCCATACCTGTTTCATGGCATGCTCATATTGAACTAGAGAACTCACCAGTAATGGGTTTGGAACAGGCTACACACTTGTTGGCATAAAGATGGTTGTAGCAGTCCACGCAGAATGGATAGTCATCTCTGGACATAAACTGTTCTTCACAGAGATCTTTCCTACAGCCACTACACAGAAAACACTCTTTATGCCATAGCTGGTCACAAAATGTTATCCCACCTGAAGTTATCACCTGCCAAAGACCACAGAAAAGGCAATGACCATGGGAGCCATTACAATTCAGATCACTTCATGATTCTCTTTAGATTCTAGTATCTCTGGGGGGAAAAATAAGCAAAAAGAAAAAGTAATCATTTTATGTCTTCTATGTCCACAACTGGTGCTTCCAGCTGCTCTATTTTCACCGCATGTTAGGATGTTCCTTTCCTAAAAAACATCTTTAAAAAAAAAAAGAAATAGTAATATGAGAAGCCAAAGGCTATAGGAATGAGCTAGAAGTAGAAAGAAATAAAAGTTACTGTATATTTTTCTCCTACAGTGAAATAGAACAGAAGCAGGGCTATATTGGTAACTCTGAATGGAATTGGCAAGCACAGTTATTTGCTAATAATAACTATCATTTCCTAAGTGTTTTTTCAGTCCTTAGCACCGTGCAAAGGATGACCTCTTCTAAATAGTCTCAACACCTCTATGTAATAGAGACTATTATCTTTCCCTCTTTTCAGATGAGCAACTACTGAGGCTTACAGTCATTAAGTTACTTGCCAGGGCCACAGTGAGCTAGGATTCAAACCTACATGGTCTGACTCCATAGCCTGTGTGCTTCACCATTAATACCATACTGAGTCAAAGTTATCTTGCACAGATAAGCAGCTGATGAATCCTTGTTGAATGAATGAATAAATACCAAAGGAAAAAATAGCTGGAAAGCAATTCCAGTATTGTATCTAGCAATGGAGTGCTGTGGGAATCAGAACTCAGTGGAATGAGCACTGGTTGTACGTTGAGCCTTAATGTGTGATATGAAGCATTTTGTCAGAGATGTAATTAATTTTCCATAAGATAATATTTTTTTTCTAAACCAGTTTAATCCATGAATTCTACCTTTTAAAAGGCTGAAAAATCTTTATGCAGATTCAGATGGATAAATATTGGGCAATTCTTCTCGTGTAACTATTTTTAAACCATGTCACATTTTGAATTCACAGCTAATGAGCTCTTGGAGTGGCTGTAGATACTAAAGTGTGTATTTGTAAATGTTTTATAATGAAGCAACAGGATATCTGAGGTGGTTCCTATAAACTTTGTATCAAATTAACTAGATAGTAAAAACACAGAGACTATTTTAAGCCACTTCCTTGTTTACAAACTCAGAAATGTTATTTGTCTGTAATACAGACTTGTGAAAAAATTATTCTAAAGATATTTTTAATCTTATAACAAATATCTTAGAAATTAAAGATATTTGATATAAAAGATTATTTTCCTAGAGGAAAAAAGCATACTATTCTGAACAAGTAAATGGGAAGCATAATGGTGTAATGGAAGTAAAGCAATTTAAAATACCCCCTACTGACTTCAAATGCCTTACAGTAGACACAGCAGAATTCATGATTCCTTTGATTTGTTTGGTCTAAGTATTAGCAGGCAATGCTTAAAAGATTCAAAACTTGAAAAATGTATTCACAGCAAAATAAAACTTGATATATACACCAAAGACTGTTTAATTAGAGGAAGAAACTCTGGAACATTAAAAATAGTTTGCTTGTGATTATATTCCTTTTGAAGAGGTAGGAAGGTTAAGATGAAGTCTAATATCTGAGCTTGGTTTTTACCACTGATTGATCCCAGGATTTAGAAAAAGTTTATTTTCTGAAAAAGAGGAGGCAATAATGATTTTGCACTCAGTAGGTGACAGATGAAGAATCAAAGAAGACGTTTAACTCTTTTTGAAACTTGAGGAATTTGAATTTGAAGCATTTGTAGTTTGAAGTCATTTTCTTTCTGGCAGAAAATAAATCTTAGTGTAATAAAATAAAATCTGTGGACTTTAAAGCTTAAAAGTTCTAAGGGCCTGGTTGTCAAGTAGTTTTTCCTTTTTTTAAGAAAAAGTTTGGTCTTTGCTTTGGGTTGAAAAAATTGTTTAGATTGGATCATCTTGATCAAAAACATATCTAGCTTTTTAGAAAAGGACTTGTGGTTTTAAAAACTAAATAAAAACAATCTGGTATGTCACAATCTGTCTACTACCCAATATAAATATTTTGTAAATTTTTGATGACTTTAAATCATATCCTAAATATAGTTACAGGCTCCTATAACCTGGGAAACACTAGCACTTGGCCCAGACTGTTCTCAGCATGAATGTACTAAAGAAGTTTCACTCCCGAGTTTTTATAGCATTAAAAGAGACTTTATATTGTGTCTAATAAATGATTTTAAGGTAATTCTCACAAATTTCATTACTGTTTTGATCTAAGTCTTTAAGAAATGAAGCCTAAAATTGGCCCACTCAGTTGTCTCTCAAAACAGTGAGATAAACCTATTCGTTTTATTTCCAGCATGATTTTAATTCCTTTAATTTTTAGTTTTTGTATACATTTTTAGAGATAGGATCTCATTGTCACCCAGGCTGGAGTGCAGTGGCTCAATCATAGCTCACTGCAGCCTTGAACTTCTGGGCTCAAGTGATCCTCCTGACTCAGCCTTCCCAGTAGCTGGGACTACAGGCACGTGTCACCACCCCTGGCTAATTTTTAAACTTTTTTTTTTTTTTGAGACAAGGTCTCACTATGTTGCCCAGGCTGGTCTTGAACTCCTGGCTTGAGGCGATCTTCCCACCTCGGCTTCACAAAGTGCTGTGATTACAGATGTGAGCCACAATGCCCAGCCTCCAGCATGTTTTTAAATGCTGTCATTGACTGATAATTCTTTAGAGCTTCATATGACATATGGTCATCTAGTTTGACTGCTGCTTGTAAAGTCATTTTCTAAGCCAGTGTTTTGGTAGAATAATGAAGGTCTTAGTCATAAGATTATTTTATGTCATGTTGTGATCAATTGTAATTCTCAGCGATTAATATAGTATACCTTAATAATTATGATATAGCATAGGGTATTGTTGCCTCTTTAAATGCAGGATTGGTATTGGTTATGTATGTTAAAAAATTACTGTGTCTGTGTATGTGCATGTTTGTTCACATATTCATGTGTAGAAAGTGATAGTGTGACTTCCAGCTGTCCAAATATACAAATGGGCTTAAGTGTTCTGCCAAAGCAGCCCATAGATAAAAAAAATACTTAGAAACTACTACACTAATACAATGTGTTTTCCTGATTCAGCTTTCTCATTTCAGTTTATGCTGTCATTTGAAACTTACGATGCTTCACAGGTCAAGGATTTCTTTGAGAACATCCATATATTTGTGAAATACAGATGGGCTTTATCAAGGTGTTACAGCTACTTTTTCACATAAAAGCTTAGAGGTTAAAAAAAGAATTGGATGAAGTTTACTTCCAAAAAATTACTTTTTTTCTCTTAGAAAATGTGTTTTGAGTGGGAAGCCAAGTTAGAAGGCCCTGCATGATCCTGGTACTGGAGAAGGGATTTGCAGTTCTTAGACTTCTTTCTGTATTGTGTCTCCTGGACTTCCCTCATGACCTTGGCACTCCTTTGAGCTAATTGCTGTACTCTTAAGAAATACAAAACCTTCAAGTCGAGAAGACATTTGCATTGCTGAGAAAGAATGTTAAACATCCTGTTTAACTTGGTTCCCTCAGTCACTTTGGGAGGCAAATCTGTATTGTTCTGAAACAGTTAATACTGAATGGATCAAAAATTATTTTTTTATTATTATTATTTTTTTTTTTTTGAGACGGAGTTTCGCTCTTGTTACCCAGTCTGGAGTGCAATGGCGCGATCTCGGCTCACCGCAACCTCCGCCTCCTGGGTTCAGGCAATTCTCCTGCCTCAGCCTCCGGAGTAGCTGGGATTACAGGCACGCGCCACCATGCCCAGCTAATTTTTTGCACCTTTAGTAGAGACGGGGTTTCACCATGTTGACCAGGATGGTCTCGATCTCTTGACCTCGTGATCCACCCGCCTCGGCCTCCCAAAGTGCTGGGATTAAAGGCTTGAGCCACCGCGCCCGGCCAAAAATTATTTTTTAAGAAACATCTGTATTAAATGAGAGACCTGTGCTCTCTCCCAGAATATGTGAGATCTTCTATAAAAACAGTGAATGGACTGGGCTTGGGGGCTTACATCTGTAATCCCAGCACTTTGGGAAGCCAAGGCAGGTGGATCACCTGAGGTCAGGAGTTCAAGACCAGTCTGGCCAACATGGTGAAGCCCCAAATGGGATTAATTTATCTATGGGCTACTTTAGCAGAACTCTTAAGCCCATTTGTATATTTACTAAAAATACAAAAATTAGCTGGCCACAGTGGCGTGCGCCTGTAATCCCAGCTACTCTGAAGGCTGAGGCATGAGAATCGCTTGAACCCGGGAGGCAGAGGTTGCAGTGAGCCAAGATCGTGCCACTGCACTCCAGCCTGGGTGGCAGAGTGAGACTCCATCTCAAAAAAAAAAAAAAAAAAAAAAAAAAAAAAAAAAAAAAAAAGGCAGTGAATGGAACTGGAATACCAAATCACTTGAGCACTTGAGCTGTTCGGAATATTAACTTCTTGTTTGGCTGGAATTTTATGCCTAATAAAAAAAGATGGTCATCCTCATCATGACAACTAGTGGTTTATACATGTTGAAAGTCAAAAGTACCATGAGTGTATATAACATAATAGTATCAGTTCGTTCCAAATATATGGTACAGCTCAAAAGGAATAGTCTGAGTTTCCACAAGCTTCACCCTCTTTAGAAAATTACCTTCTTACAAAAGTTGCAGTAGTGAGCAAACTCCTTCTCAAAACACGGCACACAATAATTGCCACTCTCTTTGGAGATCAAAGGCTTTGTCCCTATAGGTTGCTGGCAATTCTCACACACAAAGCAGGTTTCATGCCAGTAGTTTCCCTTAAATTCCATTTTGCGGGAACCTGTGCTCCAAAAGTAAGGACCTGTTAGTATAAGTCAAGTGTAATTTTTATTAAGCAAATACAGATCAAATTACTTAAATTTTAAGTTAAGATTATAAATAAATTATCCTTTTAGAAAAATAGTATTTTTTCAGGTTCAAAAAACCCCATTCATCTGGGGGAAAGGAAAAGGTTAATGAAGTTCAGCCATGATGATGGAGAGTCACCCTTAGACTGAAAACTCTTTCAAGCCCTGCCTAACCTATAATGTGGAGATGTAAAAGTACTTTGAATGAAGACTCCTAATGGTTTCACGTGGTTTGGATAAATTGGACCATCATTTACCATTATAGGGGTATTAAAAATGCCTGCAGCACAACTACTGAGACTATGTTGCGCAGTTATGGCCTTCTAAAAATTCTTTGAATCCATAATATGCTGCTGTCCCTAGAGATTGAGAAGAAGATCAAAATATAAAGAATTAGTCCTTGCCAAAAGTGGAATGATATACGTGAACCCTGTCTTCCCTAAGAGAGAATAACAATGACTGATCCTCAAACCAGTTTGTGTCAAGCTACAAAATGACGGTTGGCCCCAATCGCCTGTGATGAATCACTCTTTCTGACGCCATTGTTTAATGTAGTGTTGTTAGTATAAATTTTATCTTTATTTTGTGGGTGAGATTCTGGTTTGAAATGTTTGTATAAATTAGACTTTATGAAAATAGAACACTGTAAGTTACCTGTTGAAGGATAATGAATGAACAATCTTTTTATTTCTAAAATACAGTCTTTTTATTTCTAAAGAAAGAGATTGAGAGAGTAAGAAAGATGTCTTTCTCCAAACCAGGGTTTTGGGACCTGCTACACTCCTCATGTGCTGGGACTTAATGAAAAGCATTGCAGCTTCAGTTAGAGACGGGAGCCCCCTTGAGATCCTACCAGGCATGATAGTCCTCTTGCAGTGGAAGCACTTGGAGGAGCACTCATTAGAATAGCACTCCGTGCACAGCAGCCGCTCATCCTTCGCAGCAAAAGGCTTTTCCACCAAAGAGTGATTGCATTTGGTGCACTTGAAGCATCCTTCATGCCAGTGCCGGTCTTTGTAACAAAGATCCTTTGAGACAGTGAAAAAAAGTTAATTAAATGTGGTTGTGACAAAACAGGCTATTTTATAAGACAAAACTGAACACTCCTGGGACTCTCATGTCAGTAGGTTGTGCTAGTAGCTTGAGGGAAAGTTTCACTGAAACTGATACCCATGGAGAGGAGACTCTCTGGGGTAATTAAGAGCTAGAGCCCAGGGCTTTCTTGGCAGCTCACTTAAGGCAATTGGTAAAAAAAAAAAAAAAAAAAAAAAAAAAAATGAATTCTGTGCTATGTCTTCTAAGTTTGCCTACATTCTTGTTATAAACTACAACAGAGGTTTTTCATGGAATGATTTTTTAAAATTTTAGGTTGCAATATTCTATTACTCCTTAAGACTGAACTAAAGAAACAAACAAAAACATCACCTAAGTAAAGCAGAGGCATAAAGAAAGAAAAGAAACAAAAAGAAAAAGAGAGAGAAAGAAAATTGGAGGAGGGAAAGAAGGAAGGAAAGAAAGGGAAAGAGAGAGAGAGAAGAAAACAATGAGCGTGTTGGGGGAATGGGTGGTAGATGTGAAAGGAATCAATGGGATTCAGCAGAAATGAAGCTGATTTTATGTCAGAAAACAGAGATTTTGAATTCTTACAACTTCAATTCTTTATGCCTTTATTTATACCTTTGTCATTCTGGAAATAATAAATATACACCAGACGGTTACTGAGGGCTTGGAAACAGCGAAAGAATTTTAGCTGTGTAACTTTGGACAAATAACTTAATCTTTAATCTTTAGCATTCTCAGCTACCTCATTAGATCATGTGAGAATTAAGCATATGTTGTATTTCATAGTGGTAAGTCTAGTGGCTGGAGCTTGACTGCTGGTGACTTTTAAGATCCTTATATATCCAGTAGCAGAGAAATAGTGTTGAAAGTCAACACTAAATGAAAAGAGGCTCTCCAACCCATTTGTTTGCTGTTCATATGCAGTAATTCTGTAAATTGAGGTGAAACTTACCTTAGAATCGGATTCAATTGGTTTTTTGCACGCCTCACAGTAGTTAGAAAACATACGATCATAACATAAAACACAGTATGGACTGTCATCTTTTAGCACATATTTCTTCCCAAGAAGTGATGCTGTGCAATATTGACAGTAAACTTGAGCAGTTGTCATTTTGGTTTGATCCTGTGAATGACAAAGTGATTCATGTATATAAAAGCAGAATTTTGTTTATAGGATAAACGATGGAACCTTAATGTGACTGAAGCACTTGAATGAATTTATATTTTCTTAAGCAAAAATTCACCAATTTAGAAAATTATGCTTATAGTCATGGTGACATTTGGAGTGATTTGGGAAAGGTTACTCTCCCATCTTGGCAGTTCCTGTGTGTTTTGCTTTAAACAAAAAAAAAAAAAGCGTAAAACCTGCAGCTAGATTATGAAAAACATCTTGTGTTTCTCATAAGCTAATGTGGAATTCAATGAGAATATGTGATTTGTTGAGGAAGGATGGTTTCACCTCAAGGATATAAATATGAACTGTTGCTAGGGCTTTTAACTAACTGTTGTCACTTATTTTCTTGCTGGAAAATTCTAGAGGCAGGTTTTGATGTAAATACCAGTCTTTCTTACTCAAATATAAATTAATAATCAGTACATTGTCATTTTCTAGTTCATTCTTTTACTCCTCAAGTCTTTATTGAATACCTAATAAGGGCTCTGCACATTTTCCCTAAGGTCTTTCTGTACCATATCTCCTGCTTAGCTGTGGCTTCCACCACCCCAAATGTGCTGATGACTCCAAAATCTCTGTTCTTGGCTAGCTTTACGTTTCTTCATTTAAATGTCCTTTACTAAGCTGGCCAAGTAAAACTCCTCAGCAGGTAGGATTCAGACCAAGTGCTAGATCTTTGTGACTATTGTTGAGCAGTTGCCCAGATACAGAAGTGTAGATGAAATCATCAGTGGTAGGAAACAACCATAGGTTCCTTCAGGCTTTAGGACCAAAGTAACACATATATAGCATAAATAATAGCAGCAGCTATTCCATTATGGCTATAAATAAAATAGCTAGAATTTATCTGTAAGGCCAAATTCATTCTGTAAGACGAATAAAAAAGGTGATATGTAACATAAAGCCAGTGACAGATAAGGATCCATTCATAAATATGGAACACCATTAAGAGACAAAGCATATAGATTTCAAAAGGTTTTAATTAGGCATTGAACATGAATTTTTGTTGTTACCAAAAAAGTAGCACCAATTTTCCTTGGAAAATGAGGTTTGTCATCTCAGGATTTATTGGAACGTATTAGGAGCTTTTAATATTTTCTAATTCTCCCCCCACAGGAATTTTTGTTAATTTAAGAAAAATCAGAGAAACCATTAACTATGACGATACAACAGCATTTTTGATACCAGTTTGTACTGACTACATTTGAAATGTATTCTATTGCATTTTGCCTTATTCTAGTGATCAAGTTCCCAGCAGAGAGACTTGCTGAATGCACATCATTATTAATTCTGTATATAGCAGTTTTGCTATATTGTTCTTCACTAATAAGTAGAGAAAAGACTGAGGATTGGGAACATGTGGGTCTTTTCCCAGGAAAGATGAAATGCAGACTAGAAAGTTCACAATGGAACATGGCCAAAATGATCTACCAGGAACACTGAATTCTCCATTTAATTAATTCCACAGAAATGTCCTTTCCTAGTGAATACAAACACGCTCAGAATGTTACTGAAGGCTTCAAACAGCAGGAAAATAGATCTAATTCTCTTGAAAAGCTTAAAAATAAAAGTTTTATTCACATTTATAGCAATCAAGTGTTTATCACTTCACAGAAATTATGTACCTTTAATAATGAAATTGGTTCCCTCCTTTGATTATTAATATTTATTTTAGTTTTAGATGTATATAATAACATTATGAAACATGGCCTCTTACGGGTTAGGAACTGCCAGGCTACTGCCATTTTGTGTTACTTTTAGTGACTTATAAAATAAAGAAAAAACAAAAGAGATCCGAAAACTGATAATATTTCAATTGTTTATTTTAAATGACACTTTAAACACGACAATATCAAAATACCTGTAACTCATTTAGTGATCAGATCATGAAGTCTAAATACAAGACAAGATGGTCCTTCTCCCATCCCAGTCCTAACTACTTAATAGGCCTGGCAGAAAATGCCCTACAATATAGATCATATTTCTTAATTTTTAAAATAAGAAACTTACTTCTTGTTCAATTCCATTTTGTAAAACCAACATTGGGGAAGTTGGGTAGGGTGTGAATAGAATCAGTCTAATATCTCAAAACCTTGTGACTTTACACTTGAAGAATTATATACTGGGAGAAGGCATTTGGTTCAGGTCAACATTTCTTTAATATTTACTCAGTGAATTGAACTACCTGCCCCTCAAGAAGTCTAGATTCTCTTAGCGTAGCTCCCGTATTAGTAATAGTGAATGTAATCTGAGGTAGAAGAACAAACTGAATGTTTACTCTCTTCTTCTTGGTTAGAAAAAATACCCTAAGTAATTTATTCCTCATTTTCATGAAGTCTGTCATTTAACTATTGATCTTTGAATACATCCATCTATTAAAACATCCTCTATTAAAAATAGAGGTATTATAACTATATAAATGATAGACATTCTATTAGAACCATACAGAATCTTTAGAGAACTATTAGAATAGAAAGGAGAGTGAAGACAGACCTTTCTAGGAAGATCTTAAGGAAGTTAAGCTGTTGGAAATCTGTTAGGAAGAAAGGAAGTTTGGAAGAAAGAAAGGAAGAAAAAAAGGAAGAAAGGAAAGAAAGAAGCAAGGAAGGAAAGATCAAACTATCGAGGCAGGGAAAAGACAAGTGAGAGAATGGTACAGGAGCTCATTTAAAGATGGGAAGTGGTGAGTCTTGAGAACAGATTTCACCTGGGTACCTTCAGGATGAAGAAGGATCTTCGAACTTTAAAGCTTCCTGAAGTGATATGAGCCTTGAATGCAAGTAGTTCTAACTGGAGTGGGGCAGGCAGAACAGGTAAGATTGAATTTTTCCAGTCCGACCACTTTTGATTATCTTACGCTTTTTAAAACATTATTCTGTACCTTTTCTTCTTCTTTATCACTAACATTAATATTTTAAAATTCTCAGGGAATAATTCTGTGTTCAGAAGATCAAACCAAATAGCTTGTTTTTAATCATTCCCTAACAGGTAAAGCTGTAGGAAAGAGGATGAGGACTTCGTGATTTTTGTCTCAGGAATCCTCACCTGAGGGCTAATTTGACAAAGATAACGGGAAATTTTTGCTTTCAAAGATTAAAAATCCTCAAGCAAAGCTATTCTTAATGATAAGCTGTAAGCGTTATTTATGTACCCCAATTGATTAGCATTCAACTTTTCTAGATATGAACTCAGCAGTGCTAGTCATTAATTTGGAATGTATCACTTAGACATTCTTGTCAAACTTCTTTCAAAGTTATTTAGCAACTAACACAACATATAAGCCCAGAATTTTTATCTTTGCATATTGGGATTTTAGAAGATTTATTTAGAGGTGCACTGATATATCAAAGAGGATCATGAAGATAGATGAGTAGCTCAGAAATTCAATTGTATGAACGGACTTGGCTTTGTTTTTTTTGGTTCCCTCCTATAGATTTTAGGTTTCTCCCTAAAAAGATGTAAGTTCATTGGTAATAGTTTTCGTAGCTGAGAATGTTATTTCTTAGGTGCTATTTTTTTAAACCAGGATAATTTTGTGTTAAGTTATATTTTATGATGAGTTATTAATGAGAAGGCTAAGGCTATGAGCAATATATCCACTTAACATTTTTACTATGCTATGCAGAATGAATAGATTCACAAGAAGTATACTTGAGAACATTTCGAATGGGAGAAAGGCAAGGACTAGGTGCCATGCCTGGTACCTTTAATATACTATTGTTTGCAAGGCATCACTTACCATCTATTTATTACATTCGAAAAACATGTAAAATACATGTCATTTGCAAACTGATCTGCTACAAATTGTAAAGGATATAAAAAGATTAGACTCACATACTGTCTGCAGAGAGCTTATGATCTAGCAGGAAGAGTAAGGACATTTCATATCTCTAAACAAAAGTTAGGAAGTGATGAGGATAAATGAAATGTTGCAAGTGTTAGAACAGGTAGTTCTAAACATTGGGTACACATTGGAATTTTAAAAATGTCCAAGGTGGGACGGCACGGTGGCTCACATCTGTAATCCTAGCACTTTGGAAGGCTGAGGCGGGTGGATCACCTGAGGTCAGGAGTTCAAGAACAACCTGACCAACATGGAGAAACCCCATCTCTACTAAAAATACAAAATTAGCCAGGTATGGTGGCTCATGCCTGTAATCCCAGCTCCTTGAGAGGCTGAGGCAGGAGAACTCCTTGAACCCAAGAGGCAGAGGTTGTGGTGAGCTGAGATTGTGCCATTGCACTCCAGCCTAGGCAACATGGGTGAAACTCTGTGTCAAAAAAAAAAAAAAAAAAAAAAAAAAAAAAAGTCCAAGGTACACCCCTACCTCAAACCAAATAAATTCAAGTGCACTAAAAATAAGTACTTTTCAGTTCTCAAGTAGTTCTAAAGTCCAGTGCGGGTTGAAAACCACCAGCTTAAAGGAGGAGGAAGGACAATCACTTTCAGCCAGGAAAAATTCAGGAACAACTTGAAGCAGTGGCATCTCAGTGAATTTTGTGGTAGATATTATGGATTGGCTCTCCCAAAATTGGTTTTATCCTCCTCCTAGTTGGAGAGATCAAGGAGCTAACAGCACTTCCTGGACCCCGTTACAGTGTGTTTTCAGGATGCAAATTTGGCTCTGCTAAAATCATATGTAAAAATCAGAAGGTGAATGTGAAATGAATGACATGTTCCTGCTGCTGCTGTTGCCGGCAGATTGGCTGGCTGAGATGTCAAAGGTTTCTATCCATTCATAATGCCTGGAGTCAGTTTTCCTAACTAGTTTTTCGACTGTGAGAGACAGCTGTGGTGGTACTAGTGGTAGCAGCAAGTTTCTGACCTCTAGATCACATGCAGAATGGATATGGAAGTGGGCAATGAGCAGACTCTACCACCCTTGGAGTAATTTTAGAGATATTAACAATAATATTTAACACTCCTATATGTTTCCTGAGTGCCAAGT